TACTGACATAATCAGACCGCCAGGGATTAAGGGTTTTGTTTTCTAATCGTCACAACGAAATAAATAATAAACATGGAGAAGTTTCCGTGCTTCTAGACTCTTAAAACACTTGAAGCTTGGTGCTCTTGTCCTTAAATAAAGACCCTTGTTTCTGACACAGGAGTCTAGTGACTTCTGCCATTATCCATGAAACTGTGGCAACTTAATTGTTAGCTTGCAAATACCTAACACCTTCATAAGTCTTAACATGGGGTCATCATTTAAGTTTGGAGCATGTTCTTCTCCTTTATGGGCACAAGCACCACACGATCACTCATGTCTTTATTCAGTTTTCTTCCAAGAAAAATGGAGCATACTTTGTTCTGATACGGCCTTTTTCATTGGTAATTTATTATTTTAATGGCTGGATAGTATTCCATAATAGGATGTGGCATATGCAAGTATTCTCCTGTTCATAAACATTTAGATTTTTCCTTTCTTTCTAGCACTAGCTATCCTGCCTGGCTTTTACAGCCTTCCAGAATGTCCCTCTCCCTACCCCCTAATGACTATCACGTTTCCCCAGTACTCTCAAGTCAAAACACTTGTCTCATTGCTCCCTACTCAATAGAAACACTGGTCTATTACCTAACAACACACTTCTTTCTCTTCTCAGGATTTTATCATTCTGTTTAGCACTCACCACATTCTGTGCTACATTACTTGCTATTGTTTCACTTGCTCTTCAAACAGACTATAAGCTTCAGAAGTTTATGCGTCTAGTTTTTATTCTGAGATCTCCCTCCCAGCTCCAGTACTTGGAGCCCTTTTAATCAGCAAGTATGCCACGCTTTTCTGACAGGAAAAGTGGATTGATTTGTTTTGTCAATTAGCTAAATGTAGTCAATGTGATTCACGTTCCCCCTGCTATTTTTAATTCCTTCCCCCTTGCTGTCCTGGTGCATTGGAGTAAGTACTTTTCAAGAGCCCACCTCCTGCCAGGTACCGATATGAAGTGAGGGATGAGCAGCTATGTGAAGTCCATGATGACATCAGTCTTTTGTATTCTTCATGGTTTCTCCCTCACATCCTGCACTTTACTTTTCTTCCCATGGGCTCCAGAAAAGCGACAGTTGGTTAATTAGTGTCATTTGTCTAACATGGATAAGGGTAACAGCAGAAACGGGGAGGGAACCGAAACGTCTAAAGAGTTAAGGTTCTTACTTGCATTCTCACACTCGTCACAACCACCCTATGAAACAGGCACTATATATTATCCAGACATAACGCAAACGAGCAAACCGAGGCTTACAGAGGTTAAAAATGCCCTCAGTCTTAAGTGTGTGTGTGTGTGTGTGCGCGCGTGTGTGTGTGTGAGAGTGGTGGGGGGTAGGGTGTGTGTGTGGGGGGGGTGTGTGTCAGAATTTGAACCCAGGTCTAAAGGAACCTAGCGCCGGTGCCCTTCAGCTCACTGCGGGCCCTTATTTCCCCTAAGGGTCAGACAAGCCAATTTTCGTCTCCCTTAGTCTACCGGGTCCTACCAGGTCCCAGGGAGCAGGGACAGCCGGCGACCCCTCGACGGGAGGACGCTCCTCGCGCCCGCCCGGATCGGGCCAAGGCCGCGACCGTCCAGCCGCGCCTCCCCGTCCGCGGTCGATCGGGGTGCTGTCCCTCCGGAGGCGCCGAAGGCCTGGCCCCAGTCCCTGTCGGCCTCTTGGGGGATCCTGGAGGTTACCGCACGTCCGCGGCTGGTCGCCAAAGCCGCTGCACGATCCCCAACAGACCTGCTCTTCCTCCACGTCGGGGCCCTGGGCCCCTTTCAGGCGGGAACCCGGGTGTTTCCGGACCCGGGCAAGGTCGGCCCCCTCTCGCCGCGCTCTACCGGCCCCGAGCCACTTCCGGTCGCTAACGGTTCCGGGGCACTTGGTGACAGAAGGGCTGGCGGGTGTTTCGGCGTGAGGCTTGGGGTAGGTAGTTAGGGAGCATTTCGGAATGGCGGCAATTACTAACATTACGGGAATTCTCTTAAAACCTACAACGCAAGAGCGGATAGATGTCCGTTAACCGATTTCAGCGGCTTTGAGCGGAAGACAGTGACGGCAGCGGCCGCCACGCACGCAGCACTTCCGGTGCCCGGAGCCCCCCGACCGCGTCTCCCATCAGGGCCCTTAATCCAGAGCTCCAGACAAAGGCCTTTCAGCGCCTAACCCAGCGGATTCGTGCCCACCGCGGGGACGGCGTGGTCGCCTGCAGGACGTCCCCGGGCCGGGCACTCGGACTGGCAGCGCCCAGCAAAGCCTTTTCTGACGGCGGGCAGCAGTGTTCAGGCCCAGTTTCTTTTTCATTCATTGTTTATACTCTACAGACCACTTATTCCTACTTGACATTTGTCTCCCTTTAACGCTGGCGTGCCAGAGCAGGGGAATTTTTTCCCTTGTTCCTCGCTATATCCCCAGTACCCAGAACAGGGGCACCACGCAATACTTGTTGAATGGATAATAAACAGGTGCGGTCGCTGGTGTCATGAACTCCGCCTCCCAGAGGGGGTTTGGAACACAGAGACCTGGCCCCATCCAGGGTGAGAGAGGATCGTGGTCAGTGCTAATAAATAGGGCATGATGAAGGGAACGCCTATGCAATTTACGTCTTCCAATAGACACATTAAAAACATAGAAAGACAGGTGAGATCAATTTTAATATATTTTGTTTAGACCAGTATATCCAAAATATTAAACATCTAATCAATATAAAAATTACAAATACCTTACATTCTTTTTTTCAGTCTTTGCAAGCTGGTGTTTATACTTATTGCACATCTCAATTCAAATATTAAATTTTCATTGAAAATAATCAAGATTACATAAAACTTGAAATGGAAAAAGTAGATTCATATACCCAAATTACTCCAAACATACTTAAAGCCATTCCAATAACTGAATTGAGTACCAGTTTTAAATTAATTAAAATTTAGTTTTAGTTGCACAGCCACATGTACCTAGCGGCTACTGTAACGGATAATGCAGATCTAGGTCAAGGAGGGGCCGGGTCAAGGGGCAAAGGAGGGTAGCACCAGGCACTTGGCATGGAGGGAACAATGTCTCAGAAACTGCCATGTAAGCTCTTTATGCAAGTCTCATTTGTGGACAGATTCCTCTAGTTCTCAAACGTGAGGTATGGCTTCCTAAAATAGACATCTTTAGCATGATTGCTGCATAGCCTTTAGGTTCCCTAGGAATCCTTTTGTGGGGTAGGAAGTGGGCCTAGCAGCGCTGGCCATATGTACCATTTCTAAGTAGAATCTTATCGTATATGACATGGAACAGTCATGGAAATCCGATTATTTTCTCATAGATCAGTGGTTCTCAAATGGGGGCAATTTTGCCCCTCAGGGAACACCTTCACCTCAAGAAATTTTTACTTGTCACAAGTGGGGGTGCTAGAGTTATCTCGTGGGTGGAGGCCAGGGAATACTGCTAAGCATCCTACAATGCAGAGGACAGCCCCACAAGGAATTGTCTGGCCCAAACATCAACAGAACCAAGATGGAGAAAGCTTGCTCTCAAGGGTTTGAGTAAGAAAGACCCAGAGCTGTTCTTTCCGGACCTCAGCGTAACTACCGCCTGATATTACTAAAGGAAGGACAGATTGGAAGCATTTCCAAGTTTCTAGTTGTGTTTTCACTATTGATGGACTCTGATAAGACTATGAAGAAATGATTTCATGCTCAGGATGAAAGCGTCGTCCCGCTCAATAAAGGTAACGTAAATATTATGTGCTGTGCACATAAGACTCAATGCACCTTGGGATAAGGAGCTCATCTGTCATCTCTGCATGGCTTCCATCATATGACCCTTTGTCTCAAATATGATTGACGCCAATATCAGAATTACTTGTCGCTCTTTTTTTCCCTATTACCATCTTTTATTTTTGTTCCTTTCCCTATCCCCTTGTTCCTTATTATTCTATTCCTTCCATCCCTTCCTCCTGTCTTGTTGTCTCCCTCTTTACCAAGGCCCACACACATCCTATGTCCCTCCTCCCCGACCACTCACATCTCCTCCCTTCACAGCTGCTGACTCCTCATTCAGAATCACCNGCGCCACTCGGCCGGCCCGATTATTCTTTTTAGCAACTAATTTTCCACTTTTTAGTCTCCTCCCTTTCCAGTTTTTGACAATTACAACCTATAACTAACCAAGTACAAAATTAACCCACTATGTACCTTCTTCTCAAACAGTTTTGTGCATACACATCTGTGTTAGATGGATAAGCACCTTGTGGACAAAGACTGTTTCTTTCATCTTCTTTTAAGAATACCTAGTTGAGTTTATTGATTTAGGAAGTTAAAACAGTCAAACTTTAAGGCTTCTTCTGACCTCAAATGCTATAATCCTGTGAACTATTGAAGGCACAATTCAACTTTCAACAGCATTATTTCTTTAACAGGTGAAGAAATGTTTTCTTCTTGCATACTAATTAGGTATAATTTGGGATATTTGGGAACAGAAAATAAAACAAGGTATTTTCCAGGCTTTGAAGATAAAAAAAAGTAGGTGAAGCCAATACTGTGCTTTATAGTTACCTCAAACCGCACAAGTTGAACGTTTTAACATCTACCACATTTCACACTTAACTACGACAGAAATTCAAAATGTTTGCATTTGCTAAAACAATTACTGCATAAAATAGTTAATTAATCAACTGGAAATAGGGATTGTTTTTAGAGGTGGCGGTGGGAGTCACTGTTGCCTGACAAACATTACTCATGTGTGACCCGAGTTTGGAAATAGGGATGTCCTGCAGTACCCGGGCATCTACTTCAGTTAGTTTTAATAAACGAAGTAAAAGTATTCTGAAGAAGGCTGAAGTCTATATTACCCCGAAGTTGTTAAAAATGTTTCTTTTGTACAGTTTTCCAGTCAACACACCACCATTTTCTGAATACATTACCAAGAGCAGATTACCCTAACAGCAAAAACAGGTTTCCATGGACTGGTGCTTCCAAAAGCAAAATTTATCTTTAAGGGAAAAAAAAACAACAAAAAACACCGAATATTGTGACGGAAATGCAAAACTGATACGTAAAAACAACTCGGATCGTGGAAACAGATGTATAAAGAATAACGTGGGGGCAGTTTCCTAATTCAAGACAAAAAAGGTCGACTGCAGATAACACCACAAAACCATTAGCGATGAAGAAAACGAACCCCTATAAAAGGGTCCCTCGCAAAAAGTTTGTGGACGCGAACGCGGCCGCGCCGGCCACTGCGGCACCCGAGCAGCCTGGGCGCCCACCTTGGTCGGGCCACCGCTCGGACTGTCAGGCGGGTCCCGGCGGCGGCCTGCGCTGCCCACAAAGCGCCCCCCTTTCCTCGGGCTCCGGGCCCGAGCAGTACTCACGGCGCGTTCCAGGCGCGGCCCAGGGTGAGGCGGAGAGGCCGCGGAGGGTGGACGGACCGGGAGGGAGGGCGGGGACACAAGGGGGCCAAAGCTCTAATCCCACCAGGCCCCTCAGGCCCCCCACTTCCAAACCAGCGGGGGGACAACACCCGCCAACACGCATCTTGCCCCAGAGGCACTTCCGGCAGCTCTCTAGGAATCTTGGCGGTCTGGAAGCTCTATGGTCGGCACCTCTTGCGCCTGCGCGTCGCGGGGTCGCAGGGCCTGAGAACGTCCAGGAGTGCACTTTGAGGGTCCCCAGGATGCTGGTTAGCTGGGCTCGCGTCTGGCCCGGTTCGATACTCCTACACTTCGCTGTTCTTTTCATCAATTCAGTCCTCCCACAGACCGCACGTTTTGAGGAATTCCATCATTTATAGATTTTTTTTTTAATCCCTATGGCTCCTAGTAATAGCTCACTTTATGTTATTAAGTCTTCAAAAAAAAAGACTGTAACTGAATATAAATTCTTTTCTAATCTTTACCTATTTTCCACCCTTTCCTTTCTTAATGAATTGCGACCTGAGTTTACAAAACCTACGATTGCCGCTTAGCTTTTTACATGCTAAATTTATAACACAAGCTTCAGAGGCCGACCCTAGTTTTAAATACCACAAAGTTCGGGAAACAAATCAATGTTAATTCTTCATATACCCGTTGTATAAAAGTTTTTAACTTTTCAGACTAAATAGGATTTCGGGGGTGGAGGTTGTGGAAAATGTCTTTTACTTTTGTTGTTTTGGTCCCACATTTTTATTCCTTTAGCACCATCCAA